CCCCAGAACCTATGACCTAAGATTTGTATCTTGGTGATGATTGCGCGCCTCCACCGAGGTAGTTCGCACGCATCAGAGCCAGGGGTCTAGTCACAGAACAGGAAATTCGAGCACTGGCACAGTGCATTCGCGTGGTTTGAGGCGTGGTAAACATTGACAGTATCGACCCTCATGCGAGGCGTATGTGGGAATCAAACGTCCTCGTCCGTTCCAACAGAGCCAACGGTGCTGTCCGGAGAGGAACCGTCAGTTCACCCCCCTAATCCCATTTCCATTTCCAGATCTTGTCCTTCCATAGATGCCTCCGTTCCGGACTGCCATTGAGATGCCGTGCCATTCCGACCGTCTGGTGCTTACCCACTCCATTCATCTCTGTTGTGCCCTAGCTCTGACAAACATAAAGAACCGTGCTATTATTCCATTCCTCTGTCCGTGCAGGTCTCTGCTTTCTTTTCCTTTTCGAGTGCGGCAAGCAAAGCTTCTTTGTTTCTTTCCTCTGTCTCTTACGAAGCCCGGAATTGCCATTCTAAGCGCCCACGAAACCGGGCTCATGAAAGCCCAGGTCTCACTCCCTTTGGCCTCGCCTGGCCGGGCTGTGTACCCGTCCGATGTCTGTAGCGCGGTCCAGCCGCCTGCAAACGCTAGTCTCGCTTTGATTCCTTTCTCATCTTCTCTTCTCCTCGTTCTCCTCTCTTCACTTTTATTCTGTTTACTTCACTTCACTTCTCTCTCCTATTCGCCTCGCTACTTCTCGTGTCTTCCAAATAGTCCTTTTTGTTGGAAATCCAAGCTGCTCCCCACACCTGCCCGGTACCTTCTCCTTCCCCTTCCCCTTCTCCCCGTCCTCCTCATACCCTTCCCTCCCCCTTCTCCCCATTCCCATTTCCTATCCCCCCAGTCCCCCCCTTCCTTTCCTTCCCTTCCGGCATTGGTTTGCTTGTTTGCTTGTTTGTTAATTTTTCGGAAAAGCGCTTCGGAAGCGCACGGCGGAACGCAGAGAGAATGGCGGCGAAGTGCTGGGATAGCGCATAGGAGATATCGCACGATGGCGAGAGCGCGCGGCAGGGCGTGGGAGA